AACCCATTCCAAAGGCCAACCACCCTGTTAGAAAAATAAAACCATCTTAGCTGAAGATGACTTCTACTCTGTCAAAATTTATATTTGTGTCACCCAGTCCTGCTATTCTCTGTTAAATATGAAAAAAAAGATGATGCATCAACATATTTATGATTTTAACTATCAATTCCCTTTGCGATCTTAAACACCTCAATCAGATCTTCTGTTACTCTTATTTTTTCAAAAGAAAACAATTTTAGAGATTTCAACCTCTCATTGTATGACAACCCCTCCATCCCAGGTACCATTCTAGTAACCCTTTCCAACAACTCACTGTCATTCCTAAGGTAAGGAGTCCAAGACTGAACATAATATTACAAATGTGGCCTGACCAGTGACCTATACAATGAAATTATAACCTCTTTAAGATTTGCATTCAATATTTCTGAAGATACAACTTAAAATCCTATTTGCACCACTAGCAACAGCACACTGCTTGGATGGCTTAAGAGACTGATCTACTATTACAACAAGATCCTTTTCTTTCATGACACTGTTAGGGTTATTCCTATCCACATTATAAATATAATTCAAATTATGATAACCCACACATATTATCTTGCATTTATCATAATTAAAACCCATTTGCAATTTATTTGCCCAACTCACTAAATGATCTAAATCCTTTTGTAAATCAGCAGCACACAGCTAGCAACACCCAAGACTTTAATATTATCTGCAAATTTAAGTAATTTATTGACCATTCTTTGATCTATGTTACTTATGTAAATCAAAAAGAGCAAATGTCCTAAGACTGAGCCCTGAGGTACCTCACTTGTGATATTAATCCAGTTTGACTGAACTCCAATTATAACAACCTTCCGCTTCCTTCCATCCAGCCACTCTTTATCCAATTTGCTAACTTATACCCCACACCTATAAATTTGTTTACAAGCCTTTTATGTGGTACCTTATCAAATGCTTTTTGAAAATCCAGATACACCAAATCTACACTCTTACCCTCATCTACATTAGCAGTAACCTTTTCAAAGAATGTCAAAAGATGTGTAAGGCACAATTTTCCCTTAGTGAAACTATGTTGACTATCCAATAAAATTCTAACTTTGTTAAATGACTTTGCAAAGCATCTTTTATCAGACTTTCCAAAACTTTTCCCACAACTGATGTAAGGGTAATAGGTCTATAATTACCGAGACAATTTTTATCACTTCTTTTGAAAAGAGGAGTTACATTAGCTAACTTCCAATCCTCTGGTACCTTCCCACTATTCAAGAACTGACAAAAAAAATAGTAGCAAGTGGCTCACTTATCCAATCCTTAATCTCCTTTAAAACCCTTTGGGAAATATTATCTGGCCCAGAAGCCTTATCTTCCCTTAAACTTCCCAATTTTTTCTTAACCAGCTCAGAATTAATGCAGTCATCTTGTTTGATCTCGTTTCCATTTATTA